CCCCCCGGGGAGGAAAGGGGGGGGGGGGTTGCCACGGGGGGGTTGGGGTAAAGGTTTGGGAGGGGAGAAAAAGAAATTTTTATTTTTGAACCCCTGTGTCTCTTTTGCTTGAGATTAAAAGAAGGAAAAATAAAGTATGTGTCTTTTGCCTGAGTCTTTGGGGCCTCCCTGGAAAACAGATCCGGAGGCCCTTGGAGCCTCCTTTCATCCAACTTTGTCCCTGCTCCTGGCAGAATGGGAAAGACGCTGCCTCGGTTTCCCATTCATAAAATGGGAATGCGGAGGATGGGGCAGGAGGAACGGGAATCTCCTGTATCCAGGTCAAACCCTCCATGCAGCCCCAGGAATCTGGTGTCTCCCTGCCTGGACCCCCAGGTGAGGCTTCTGGCCCCATCTGGCCCTTGGCTGGCCCTTTACAGGGCAGGATGGGTGGGGAAGGTAGAGCACAGGTCTGTCTTCCTCTCGCACATCCAGATGACTCTGCGGAAGAAGGGGAACGGGAGACATTGGAACTGGGATTCTCTGGCACCTGAAATAATGCAGAGCTCCCTCCTGTCCAGGGTGAAGCATTTTAACTCAGCCGCAAGGGAAAGGGAGGGGGACTGCTGCTGAAGGCTTGTTCACAAAGGTGTCACCACTGAGAATTCAGGCACTGCTCTCTGAGGGGGGCCCTAATAACTGTTTGGCCCCCAGACAGTGAGTGTCAGCTGAATACAAAAAGCTGTATGTGTATAAAGAAACGCAGGCTGAGGGACTGCGGAAACAGGCACAGAATGCCGGCCCTGTTTCTTAGGCAGAGTTCTCCATCAGACCTCTACACTGTTCTGTTGCTCCTGAACCCCTAGTGAATTCCAGGGGGCTCCCCCTGCTCTGTAGTGGGCCACAGGGGGTGGGAGGAGGAATGCTCAGCATTTTAAGGCCCGCTGTCCCCCTTCCCCTCCCAGCACATGACAGCCTGAGCTTCTGTGTGGCTCTCCTGTCCTGTGTCATGTGCAGTCTGACCCTACCGGCCATAGAGGAGGGGCCTCTCTGGTGGCTTCTCCTATCCCCCATCTTCCCTGTAGCAAGTCTTCAGAGGCAGAGGGACACTTGGGGCCTTTACCAGGTGTGAGATGAGCTTTCTTGGAGTGCAAGAAAACCGGATTCCCAGGAACAGATAGACCCCTGCCAGGAAGGAGTGTGTAGCTGCTCCAGTCCAAGGCCAGAGTACAGCTGCCCAGGAAGTACATGAATTCTATTAATCCCCATAAGTCCACGAAAGAGACACTATTATTAGTTCCCCTCTACAGATGAGGGAAAGGTCCCCAGAGGTGCCCGAACTCCACCCCCCGGGGCTGGGGGCCCCTAACTGCACAGCTTGGGAGCTGCTCAACTCTGCGTCCTACTGCCCCCCTGTGGCGGAAGCAGCATGGGACGCCTGCACACAGCCTGGAGCGCTCAGGGCACGGTCGGACCTGTGCCCCACAGGTCAGCAGTCCCTTGGTGGGGTCTGATTTTCTCCCATCCAGCTGATGGATGCTCCCGCCATCCTCTGCCCGCTCCCCTCGGCTTCTGCCCCAGGGGTGGGGCAGCCCATGCTGGCTCTCCTGGGAAGCACACTGGTTCTCAACCTTGGCAAACGTTTGGATTGACTGGTGCTTAAAAAAATACCGATGCCCGGGCCCCACCCTCACAGATTCTGATCCAATTGATCTGAGGGTGGAGCTCAGGCAGGGTATTTTTAAAAAGGTTCCCAGGTGATTCTGGGCCAGGGATGAGGTGAGAAGAATGCTGGAGTCAGAACACCTGGGTTTGGATCTGGTCCCACCACTTACTATTTCATTGACCTGGGGCCAGGTCATTCACCTTCTTTGAGCCTCAGTTTTCCTCATCTGTCCAAAAGGCATGATTTCAGCCCCAAACAACAGGATGGTATCAATGTGAGTCTACAGATGTGAAGGTGCTTTGAAAACTATAAGGCTGTGTAAAAGGGGAGGGCTTATACCAGGGCCATTGCTGGGCCAGCCCTCTGCCAGCCCCCATGGCCCAAGATTGCCAATTTCCTTGAGTCCTTTCTGTAACATTTTGCAGAGGATGCCTAAGGACACCACACCCCCTGCTAGTTTCCATGTCCCTTGCCCATAGTGCTCTCTACCCTAAACCCTCTGAAGAGGTGGTTTTTGTGGGTGTGTGAGCAGCACCTCTGCAGTGGCTGTAGCTACAGAAACCACACTAACTGTGGTGTTCAGTGTGACCTAGAAAGCTTTGCTGAGGGAAAGGAGAATTGCATCCATGTAGGAAGAGGGCCGGTTGGCTGTGCAGGGATCTTGACGATGTCAAGCAGGTCTCTCGACTTCTGGAAGTAACTCAAGTTCAAGCCTGGCCATTGACAAACACTGGGGCTATATTGCCACTATATGGCAACTCGGGGAACTGCAGCTGAGCTTACCCTGGGCCTCGGAGAGTCCACTGTTTCTTCAAAGGTGGTCCCAGCAGTCCAGAATGAGTCACCTGGGGATGCTGGTTAAAGTTGTGGCTTCACTGGTCCTATCCCAGGCCCCCTGAATTAGAAGCTTGAGAAGGGGCATGGGGAATCTTCATTGAAATATGCCTCCTGTGTGATTCTTATGTAGGACTGGTGACTTAATTTGTAGGGCCCAGAGCAAGATGAAACCCCTTGTTTCATGGAACCCCTTGTTCAGAAATTAAGAATCTCAAAACAACCATGGCAGAGCATTTAGCCAAGCACGGGCTCTGTGTGACTGCGCAAGTCGCATAGGCCTGGTCCTTTTCTTATGCCCTGTGGATGTGGAGAATCCTGCTGTAGTCGAACCCCTTGTTCAGAAATTAAGAATCTCAAAACAACCATGGCAGAGCATTTAGCCAAGCACAGGCTCTGTGTGACTGCGCAAGTCGCATAGGCCTGGTCCTTTTCTTATGCCCTGTGGATGTGGAGAATCCTGCTGTAGTCGCCGAATCTTGAATATAGCTACATGTGATGTGATGGTTACAAGCATGCATGTGGAGGTGAGACAGCCTTGGAATGGGAACTGAACCCTACTACTTACAGGTTATGTGACTTTGGACATATCTCCAACCTCCGTGAACCTCCTTTACTTCATCTTTAAATATTGGGATGATTTATATCTTAAAGCGTTGCTTTGAAAATATAAAATCATTTCTGTCATATAGTAAGTGCTGCTGAAATGTAGTGCTCCCTGCATCCTAGGCTCAGGGTTAGGGTGTTAGAGTATAAAGATGAAAAATATTATGGTCTTTGTCCTGAAGGGCTGACATTCTAGCAGAGGAAACAGCCTTAACTCACCACTGGTGTGAAGGATGTGACCAAGGGGCACCCTCCAGCAGGTGCTGCGGGACAGCTAGGAGGAACACCTACTTCTAGGATCAGGGAGGTGCCTCAGCGTGCGGAGTGAAGGCAGAGGTGTAAGGACGGAGTAGGAATTGGAGGAAAGGATTGGGAGCCATGTGCGTGCATGTGAGTGCGTGTGTGCGTGCGTGTGTGCATGCGTGCATGTGTGTGGGGGGGATCAGACAGAGAGACCAGCACATGCAAAGCTTTAGCCCTGACCTGCACAAAGAACTTGGAGGCCTGCATGTGGCTGAGGGTACGCGTGGTCAAGAGCGCATGCAGGTAGGTGAGTAGCTGAAGAGGAAGCCAGAGGGTAGCCCATCCAGAAGGACCTTTTCGTGTCTTGCTGAGGGATTTGAACTTTGGACTGGAAGCTCTCAAGAGCCAAGGGAAGGAATCTGGGCAGAGGATGGGCACGATTGGACCTGTGTTTAGAAAGTGGCCTGTGACTGAGACATCCTGTGTGAAGGACAAGGCATGGCAAGGGGGTGGGTGCAGGAAAAGCTGCAGTGATCCAGTGGGCGTGAGCCTGATCTGAAAGTGAGGGGGAGACGAAGAGGAGGGGAAGGCACCGAGAAGTTAGGTTGTCCCAGTCATCTGTCTGCAGTGGCTTCCTTTTTCTTTTTTAATTTTTTGGCGGCTGACCACACTCTAACCGACTGAGCTAACTGGCCAGCCCTGCCATGGCTTCCAAATGGATGAAGGGACACTTGCGTTCTGGCAGGAGGGCTGGTCTGTGAGGTCACTGGCCTCCATGCAGGGGGTCCCCTCTGGAGGGGGCAGCCCCTGGGTTGTGAACCAAGGAGACCCTGGCTGTCCACCTTTCCCTGTGCCTACCTTCCCTGAGCCCTCAGAGGAAGCTGACGCAGGCTAACTGAATGCATAACTTTATTAAATAAATGCTTTGTCATGACAAAAGACAAAGATCAAGGAGTAACATAAATTATACGATGAATAAATAGTGTACAGCAATCTTCACTTTTTAATAAAACGTGAGATCCTCTGTTTTTTGTTTGTTTGTTTATTTTCTTAAGTACAAAATGCTAAACAGGAGCCGAGCTCTTCCGCATTCAGGTGATAGTTTTTTTCTGCTTTTTTTTTTTTTTTTCCCACACACTGGTTTTGTTGGTTTATTTTACCATCCTTTTTACCAGTAAAGATTATGAACACTTATTTATTTTTAAAAGTTGAAACACAAAAGAGTAGAGAATAGAGCTATGGTATGTATGCACGTAAAACTATAAAGAACTACAGGAATATGTGCTGTGGTTATTGCTGTCTTTAAAAACACAAAAAACCAAACA